GACACTGGAAAAGTAGAGCCAGGCTGAGCTCTATGAAATTGTTGTGGATTAAAACCCTTCTGCCTCTTAAAAGGCCTACCAACACTTTAAATCACAAGAGTCGCCGAAATGGCCTCCTCCCTATTTTGGCCCTTAGCTAGCACTGCTGCCTCCACATGAGTCGTAGCCCTAACAAGTACACTGTATCTCCTATGCCAAGACCCCGCAATCCTTTCACGGATGTCATCACACAGCCTATTCTCAAATTCTGAACAACGCATTTCCTCCGTCTCCACCAATTCTGGAGCAAACCTCGACAGGTTAGCAAACAATGCTTCAAACCGCACTAAAGGTGTAGTACCTTGGTGTAACTCCACAAACTGTTTCCGTAACTCTTCCCGTGCGGAAGGAGGGAAATCACAACTCCCTCGTCTAGGCATCCTAGTAAAAATAACAAAGGTATTAGCACAACAACCAGGGTGCCGAAACTATTTCACTAGCGTCCTAACACGATGGACAGCTGTAATTCATTCCACGTAAGCACATAAACACATAAGCACGTACGAATTTCATTCCCGGATAATGATAGTCCCGAGGCGTTACTAGAGTTCCGGTCAGAAATAGCATTGATCAAGTGCTTTTCCAACAAGACTCGGAGAAACCAAAGGATCCAATCAACATCTAGAAACTAAATCCCATACCCATATAGTCACATAAACATGTTATCACATAAGCATATAACATTACATCTAAGTCTCTAACAAGCGAGACAAATCCATTGTGATACTAATTACTTCCCACGTACCCAAAGTATTCAAACCCGGTACGCTCTGATACCAAGTTGTAACGCCCTCAAAATAAACCCATAATTCATACAATATTGACATGCTCAGACATAAAAGAAATAAGCATAATTACATTTCATCAGAGTATCCATTACAAAATGTATTATATGTTGACAACAAAAGTAAACGCCCTATAGGCTTACAACTTCCCAAGTCAACACTTGGGTTACAAAAAGAGAGTACTAACTCAATACACAAAATAAGCCCTTGGCTTGATATACATGTAATACAAAAATGTAATCACAAAAGATGTCCCAGCCACTAAGCCTCTCAAGCTATGTCCTTGGAGGTGGCATGCTACCTGTACCTGAAAATGATATCCCATATAGGGTGAGCCACAGCCCAGTAGAAATATATTAAACCAACTATAAACAATGACTAAAATAATAGCATTCGATAGATGGTCCACACTTATATTCCAACTTATATCTTATTACGATTTCATGACAATCATGTCCATGTTACAATTCATTTTCCCTTCCTTATTCGACTCTAAGTTTGAAAACAAAACTCAGAACTTGGCCAAACAATTTAATGAGATTATAACTCATCACTAAAATACTTTTGAAATTCATGATAGATACACGTTTTGGTGCTATATCAATAACACATAAAATCACTTCCATACTTCACAAATGATACACATTGTAGTGTTGTACCAATAAAACAAGAACACTTCCATGCTTCACAAATAATACACATTTTGGTGCAGTATCAATATATCATAGAAACACTTCTATACTTCACAAATAATACACATTTTAATGTTGTATTAATATCAAACAAAAACACTTCTATACTTCACAAATGATACACATTTTAGTGCTGTATCAATATCAAACAAAAACACTTCTATACTTCACAAGTGATACACATTTTAGTGCTGTATCATTATCAAACGAAAATCTGGTTTAGAGGTCCATCCCCTATCTTCCAATAAACCGTGGAGTACATCACCCATCTCCTCCCACACAAAACAATGTATACAAGCAATTATCATGTACAAATTCAATCAATCAATACAAAATTTGATGTATTATACCAACCGCTATAATCGATAGCATACTCAATTGATTAGTTCTAGTTTGCCTAATCATTATGCATTGTCTACAACAATCAAGACTATCCTCCATCGATAGCCCAAAGCAGTTATTTCTAAACAGAAAATAAATGCACCAAATGGATAAAATATCAACATTTTGTCTAGGTGAGCGATAAATTAATCGAACTACACCCTTTAATCCTTTAATTCCCCAATTCCAATATTCTCAATTCAATTTCTCATATCTCAGAATTTATTTTTTTACAAATAAATTTTACCTAACTAATTAGGGCATTAACCCATAATTCACATAACAATCCTAAGGTTCCATTTTCATCAACATTCCAACATTAGCTCATTTTCTCAATGTATTACATACATATAGGTTTATACATATGAAAACCCCCTCTTTTGTAAATTACACAAAGACCCCAAACTTTGCCAAAATTACACAATAACCCCTAACATATCAAAATGCCAAAATTTAAAGACAAAGCTCATAAGATAGAGTAGGATATCCCTACCTCGAAGTTAGAGCTCAAACGGAGAAGAAGGCCAAAACCCAAAGTGCTCCAAATCCGAGATTGTTCAGATTAAAACAAAGCCCTCGCGATCCTCTACCTTTCTTACAAAGCACTAATGGTAGAAACACACTACAAATAGATAAAACCCTAGAGAGAAGATGTTTAGAGAGAGAGAGAGAGGACGGTTCTAGGGTTTTGAATCAAAAAGGAAATGAAAAAGTGAACCTTTCCCCGCTGCTGCCTACTGATATAACACAGGCTCGCTCGAGCGAAGGATTGGTCGCTCGAGCGACCAGACACAAAGAATCCTCGCTTGAGCGTAGAAAGACTCGCTCGAGCCAACAAATCGAAGCCTTAGGTCTGCAACCCAGAAGCACACTCGAGTGCAAGAATGCTTGCTCGAGCGAAGGAACCCAAAACATACACCTCGCTCGCTCGAGCCAAGAAACACAGCTCTCAGGTCAAAATGAGACGCAGACGCACGCTCGAGCCACCAGACACAAGAACTCAACTCTCGCTCGAGCGAAGGAACCCTGGCTCGAGCGAAGGATCTAAAACACAGAGTCTCGCTCGAGCAACAAAAGTCTCGCTCGAGCAAAGAACCAAAATTCTGGGCAGCAACCATTTGCTCCCAATCACTTCCAACCTGAAACAAACCTGCCCAACACATCCTATAACTCAAATACAAAGGATTGAAGAAAAGAAACAAGATATAAATAACATCAACTCCACGGAACCTAAGTCCGGAATACAATAATCAAAGGAGAAAGAACCGGGATCGCTATAACCTCCCTCCCTTAAGGAATTTCGTCCCCGAAATTAAGAACACGCCAAAAGAACAAGGCCAACTGATCACACAGTATCCAACACCCGAGTACTAGGGAGGATCCTAACCTCACAACAAATTCTCGATTTACTCTCACAAAAGGAAGGGCTTACCAAGGGAACACGTTCCGAAAGAAAACAACACTCCGGCATACAAAAACTCCAACAAAACCAAACCCCTTCCAAGATAAATCACTAAAACGCCCGGCTAGCGCTCCAAGCTAAGTCACTACTCAACAATCAAAATTTCAAATAGAATAACCAACACAATTTTTTTTTTCCTTTTTTTTTATATATATATGGGAATTTTTTCTGTGGTTCATGAGGCATTTCTCAAAGATAATCAAATTTTCAATGTTGACATTCCGAAATAAATTTTGCATTTTCCATGCGAAAGTTAAAAGTTTTGTAAACGTTTTTCATAAACACGATGTTATCCATAACACATGACCATCCACAATTTGTTTGCCAAAGACTCCCCATAGAAATTTCTCAACAATATTACAATTCAATATTCAACAACCTGACCCATCACCGGTCACTTCATCTCTATTCAAGAGGCAATTTACAATATATGCTACAACATGCATTTCTTCAAATCTAACAATTTCCAATATACATGGTTCATAATTCCATATCATAGTCAGTGTTCATGATATATTTCCAGTTCTGCAATACATTCAACATATGCAATGCTACATTAAGCTTTCATTTCAAGGCAAGTTTCAAAATACTTCCGTGAACCAAAACATATGCAATGTTTTTCAATTTAAGACATATTCAATGCTCTTAAAGTTTAGCAATACAACCAAAATACAACACATGCTCAAACATCCACAAATAGATCCAGATATTTCTCTCGGACCTGAAATCCACTTACCCAAGTGGTTTTTCCCAACCCCATCACGTTCCCACAACACCTCAGTTAATGGAAGAGTCCCGTTCTCCAAGACCCAATAACAATGATAATAGTAAGCCACATGCAACCACTACAGTGTTCTGAGACATCCATTACGTCTCGACTACCAACAATACCTAAACCAGTATTTAGTACATACCACCCCAACATAGGAAACATGAAATCATTCGTACACAAAGCTTCCGGTTGACTTTCACAAAACAGGAATGCAAGACGAAGCAAGGGTAAGGAACAACATTACGGCACACTTATACCCTAAAATTTCAGGGTCTTACCAAAGACACACAACATGTAACCAGCAACTCAGGCTAGGTCAAATCTAACTTCCCACAAAATATTCCATTCTAGTTAAAGAATCTGCTTTATTTGCTCCGTTTGTTTCAAAGCACTCGGTTTTTCCCAAAGGTATTCAGACTTATACCGTCACCACTTAACCAAACCAAACCAAACCAAGCCTTAAGTCCCATCAAATGGGGTCGGCTACATGAATCCTTCTTCTCCACGCGGCCCTATCAAAGGCCATTTCACTAGTCAAATTAAGTAGATTCATATCTCTATTTATAACGCTAGTCAACGTTAATCTAGGCCTACCCCGTCCCCTAGCACTTCCATCTATCGTTACAGCATCGCATCTCTTCACTACTGCCTCTGTTGGTCTCCGTTGAATATGACCAAACCATCTCAAACGATTCTCTCTCAACTTATCTTCTATCGGTGCTACTCCTACCCATTCCCGAATACACTCATTCCTAATCCTGTCCTGTCTAGTCTTACCACACATCCACCTTAGCATATGCTTAGTATAGGCCGATCTCTTATCTGCATTTTGTTTCTTGGTTGCCCAACACTCCGTCCCGTAAGTTAGATGAAGCTTTTAGGTTGAAAGAGGCTATGGTGAGAGGTTTTAGATTAAAGCCTAATGCTTTTGTTTATGCTTCATTGATTAAAGGGCTTTGTAAGGCAAATGAATTGAGTTTGGCTTTTAAGCTTAAGGATGAGATGTTGAAATGTAAAATCGAATTGGGTTCGCGGGTGTACTCCACCTTAATTAGTGCTCTTTTCAAGGTCGGTCGCAAGGAAGATGTTATTGGAGTTTTGGAGGAAATGAGAGAAAATGGGTGCAAGCCTGATGCAGTAACTTATAATGCAATGATCTACGGGTTTTGTCAGGAGAAGGATTTTGACGCAGCATTTGGTGTTTTAAGTGAGATGGAAGTGAAGGGGTGCAAGCCAGATGTTACTAGTTATAATGTAATTATTGGTGGGCTTTGTAGGGACGGAAAATTGAGAGAAGCAAATGAATTATTTGAAGATATGCCTAGACGGAAGTGTCAATATGATTCCTTTAAATCTCTTTGCAAAGATGTTTATTTTAATTACTTCCAATTTGTAATCCTTTTGATTGTTGTGATCATTTGATAAATCTTGTGAAATCATTATCTGTTGACACATTTGAGTACTCTGGTCATTTGATAAGTTTTTTGAAGTTGTTTTGTGTAGTCAGTGTTGATTTGTCTGGCTAAATGACGTGGAATTGCTCTGTACATGGATCGAGTAGACCATGCCAATAGCTTAGACCAATAGCCCAGATAAGCGGTTGTACTTGGGTGAGGTGAGTGAGGTCGGTCACTAGTCATGTATCGAGTAGGACTGGGTATTTGGTCCTGGATAAATTATCATATGTTGAGTTGACTTGTTTGTGCAATTTGGTAAATTGCTTGATTATCGAATCTAATCGGTTGTGTAATTGTTGGATCCCTGTTGATTTATTCTCTGTCCGAGCCTTGTTATTCCTGTTGTACTATATACTTCCCGAATTAATTTATTTTTCAGCTGTAGAGCAAATCTAGTGGCGATCGGAGTTGAAGCATTTAAAGAATTATTGAGTTGGAGATTTTTGGGTCCACCACTATATATTGTTTTTGGAGATTCGTAAAAATTATAAATTATAGACATTTGTGTAATTATTTTGGAACTAATTTGTATTTTTGAGGTTATTAATTAGTTAGAATTTTAAATTTGAGATTGAATTGATTTATTAACGGTCCCAGAAGTTGGGGCGTTATATTCCCAGCCCCGTCGCGCCAACTCCTCCTTTTTGGTAACTCTTAATCTCCTCTCTCTCTCTTCTTCTTCTTCTTCTTCCAACCTTCATCTTTGTTGTCTCTGCAACTCGCGCCTCCCTTCGCTGCTGTTGGCTCTGCAACTCACACCTTTGTGCGTGATTTGAAAACCCTTGGCTTTTCTCTCTCTTTCTCTTTCTCTCCATGTAGTGGACAAGAGTTGGGTTGCGATGGAGGGGGTGAAGAGACAAATCGCGATGGTGATATAGAAACGGGTTGTTCATAATGGTAGAGTTGCCATTATCGTGGTGGTTGGGGATGTCGATTGTAGTTGGGGGATCAGGAGACGAAGGTTGACAGTGGTGAGGAGGATGATGACGGTGAACAGTAGGGTCAGGAAAGAGGGCAACGGCGGAGAGCAACAATGGTGATGAAGATTTGTCGAAAGAACATGAGACTTAAGGGGGTTGTCGGAAATGATGGGCCAATAAGGGGTGGCAACTAGCGTTCGGTGGTGCGAGAAGGGTAAGAGGCTGGAGAAGAAGTGGTGGCCGCCGGTGATAGATAATGTTAGTGTTAGGTTAGGGTTTGGGATGTAGAGTTGAAAAACATGGGGGTAATTTAGGATTTTTTGAAAAGTGATGGTGTGAAGTGAGAAGAAATCAAAAAATTAAAAATGCGTGTAGTGTGTATTGAGAAAATGATGTGTACAAAAAGATTTGATGGTGTGTAAATAGAATCACTCCACTTTGATCTCTAAAAAATTAAATCTAAACATGTAAGTGACTACCTTTTTATGTAATTTTCACTTTAATGGGATCTTTAGATTTATAAAAAAAAAAA